AACAAATGCAGATGGTTATACAGCTTTGCACATAGCATGTGACAATGACCATTTGGAAGTCGTGCAATTAATGCTTGAGGCTGGAGCCAACAAAGATGCAACATGTTCAGAAGGCACATCCCCTTTGCATTGGGCGACTTGTAGTGGCAACTTGCAACTAGTGCAAGTGCTTCTTGAGGCCGGAGCTAACAAGGATGCAATTGATGCAAATGGTGATTCATCTTTGCACTATGCGTGTGACAATGGAGATTGGGAAGTCGTGCAATTGTTGCTGGAGGCTGGAGCCAACAAGGAAGCAACACGCACAGATGGCTCAGCACCTTTACATTTGGCCGCCTACAAAAACCATGCGAAAGTGGTACAAGTGCTGCTTGAGGCTGGAGCTAACAAGAATGCAGCCGATGCAGACGGCGCAGCCCCTATGCATTTGGCAGCTCTTAGCGGCCAGTTGGAAGTTGTGCAATTGTTGGTTCAGGCTGGAGCCGACAAGGATGCAACAGATGCAGATGGTTGTACAGCTTTGCACTCAGCGTGTGATATGGGGCATGTCGAAGTGGCGTGTTTGTTAGCAGTCACTGGAACCAACCAGGAAGCAACATCTTCGGATGGCTTAACCCCTTTGCACTTAGCAGCCCTCCGCGGCCACTGGCACGTCGTGCAAGCGTTGCTTGAGAGAAAATCCCACATCAATCCAGCTGATACAAGCAGCGGATGTCAGTCAATGAAGCGCCGCAGGTTGGAGTGAAGAGAAAAAAGGCCGGAGCGGCTGGAGTCATTGAACTTTGATGTGGGAGGCTTTGGCAACGTCCTTCTAGGAGCAAAGGGCATCGCTACGGACGGGGCTCATGGCCGTACTACTAGGAGCAATCCCGCTACTAGGAGCTTTTTGGTTGCCTTCCATTCTGGAAGGCGTTGCAACGAAGGGAGGGACTGAAAGGCTAACCTCCGCGTTCTGAAGAAAAGGCTGATCGGATTAAGGCCATTTCTGAAGAGACGTCGCGTTTGTTTAGATCACGAAGAAACCGAAGGTGCACCCAGATGAATGGGAAGACACTCAAATATCTCAAAATGCCAAAGGAGAAAGTCACGAACCCCCCTGAACAATACATTTCTGCCTAGACTTACTTGTTGAACAGATCAGTTCAGAGTGCGTGGGCCGAATGCAGACTCTTGATGATATTTCAAGGCCAAGATCATTTCTACCCCCACCACCCAGCTTTCACCATTTGTTTAAGTTCAACTGCGGCAACCTTCATGTTTGTTCTTCGAAGAAGTTGATGAGCAAACCCCGCGACGCAGTGGCTAACTCTGGATAACCCGAAGTGTTTGAAGAAGTTGGGGAACTATAGGATCACTAGGTGCTGGACTGTTCTTGGGTATCCTGATAGTTGGCATTTGGTCAACTGCGAACTGCACAACTTGTTCATCGCACGTTGGTCCAGGTGACGCGCGTTCCACGTGTGCAGTGGCAAGCGACGGTGAGCAGGGAATGTGTTTCTTTTCTCCACTGTCGCATGAAATTTGGTGTTCAACCTGGAAGTGCCAAGCAGAAATGATCCACTCTTGCAAGAATGAAATCTTAAACGCATCAAAATAATAGAGTTTCAGCTCTTCCTCCTCTCCGGACGCATGACTTCATATGACCGGTCCTCAATGGTCCCCATGCTATGTGAGTTTACAGTTTATCCATGTTCATCCATTCTTGCCATTGATTCCAGAGTAGATGGCACGTGAGACAGGCCCCCCAAAATGTTCCATTTCTAGTACCCGACTTGGGGCCCTGTCCCGTGCTGACTCAAAAGATTCACGCTACGTATCGTATCTTTTATGTATATGTTCGTTGTATTGCACAGTATGTTCTTAGAGTTGGGGTACCATTCTCTGACCGTTTTCGGGGTGAATGTTTGGGGCGCTTGAACGGTTTTCTGGGCGCTTCACCGAACCAGATGGCGAGCTGGCAAGATGAACCGTTGATTCATGGAGACCCCTGGAACCTGAGCAACCATAAAAAAACATGGCCATAGGCCTATGAAAATAAGTGAGGATCTACCCAAATACCCGGTCGGTCGTTTCATGTGTTTATCTTCAATCTTTGCTTATAGGATAATTTTTCATCCACCAAGCCACTGACTTAGATTTGTTTGTGAGTTGAAACCTTCAAGTAGGACCAACATAGGTCAACACTTTTCGATCTCCACATAGCCTGTCAGCAGGTGGTCGGACTTTCCCCACTTGTCACCAAGCGATGTTACGATCCGGCGCTCACAGCTCAGAGGCTAGGCCGGCTAGGCGCATCCCTGAAACCGGCCATGGATTCTGGCCATCAAAATGGTCAAGAAAAAAATGGTTCATGTCATTTCATGTCCAGTTTGCACTTGCTTAGGCTATTGAACACGCGATGGAAACCCGGCATGTGATTGAAACCCAAAAAACCACTCGGCTCTGTTCGATCAGACGCCCACGACCAGACTATCCGCAAGTACGCAAGCAGCTCGCGTGGTGGAAGCCCAAGCAGCTCGCAGGTACGGAGCATCGGCTTCTATCGTCAAAGCGTGAGGCGCCAATGGGCGCTGAAAGACGAACGAAGACGGAGTTTCTCCGGTCTGAGAAGGGTTCTCGGCTCACGGGGTCCGCAAAAACCGGGTGGTTGGGGGGCGGGTTCGATGGAAAGGCGGAGGTGTTCGGTTTGAGGTGTTAGGCCTCCCAACTGCTACTATGCTAGTTGCCAAGCCTTTCAAGAGTTACCCTGCGACAAACCTGGAGGTGGAAAAGCCCCTGGTAGAGGAAAGGATAGGAAAAGGAGACCCTTCGGATCCCTTCGGAAAGACTCCAAGGGCCATCCACTTCCATGATTGTTGGAGAGATAGCGTTCCATCTTGATGTTATGTTTTTTTGCATTCTGATTCCTTGATGTTACATGTCATGTCGATAGCCATTACAGGTTTCGATAGTAGATGAACGTTGCATATTTGAAAAAGACTCAGTGGACTGGAAGAAGACTCGACGCTGTCGACGATGGCTCGTTCTTTTTCTTCAAAGCTGGTTTGAAGACTCATCGATGTCTCCACTGTTCTTTATCCCAAAGTGAAAAAATATCAAGCTGGTCATCGCGCGCGCAACAGGTTTGTGGCCTTTGTGGAAGATGCGGCCGCGCTCTGAAGGGCAGGGTGGGCAGAGAGCGTGACCCTTTGACATAATGAGGGTCCGGAGTCCGGAGGCCCTCAAACATCCTAAAAACCATTGAGGGCTATATATAGATTCATGTTATGTACTTGATTTATTCAAGTGCCCTCCACCAGGTTTTGAGTTGGCTGGGAAGGGCCCAGACTCGAGGTCTCACTTGTTGACCTGTAGGAAGGTGCTGATCATCAGCTTTTAAACATCGAAGGCATTCAGGCAGTCAGGCAGACCCGAGGAAGGCTTGGACCTTTTAAACTGGAGGTGTAAACCGGAGCTGGAAGGCGGGAGGTGGAAGGGGTTCGAATTGATTTGTGAACCAATTTGCTTGACAACGAGATGTTAATCATGCAAATGGATCCTCCTGCATGTTTTCACTACAGAATGGGACGAGTTGACCACTAGAATAAGTTTTTGTTTAATAGGAACACTTGTTTTGAGGTTTGGCATTTTGTAGAGGGGAAATCTGAACACACCCAGAATATGCTGATTTGTGGTCATTCCCATTTAAGGTGGTTTTTGGAACTCGTCGGTTTGCATTTTTGTCAATCTACTGAAAACTGTGCATTTTGTAGAGAAAGCTGTGCAGGAGGATGTGGCAGGGGATGCAGGATTGTTGTGGTGTTTTTATGTATACAAGGTATGTGCACAATAAACATGGTAAACCGACACACTCAAAAATAGTAAACTTGCCGATCATGGTGTGTTATATAGTGCTGAGGTTGCCATCTTGTAGTGCTGGTTCTGCTAGTTTGCCCAGTTTGCCAGTTTGCCATTTTGTAGTTGTGGTACGTGATTGTTACTTTTTGTGTGTCTCCCTTTATGTGTTGAGTTTGATTCATTGTGTTGAGTTTTGGCTGGCTCTACAAAATGACACACTCTACAAATTGGGTCGTCATGTTTTGCGCTCTGCCTGACTTGCAAAGACTTGCACCTCCACAGAATGCATCATGGACAGTTTCTGTCTTTGTTTGTAATCCTTTTCTATTGTTTATCTATCCACTGTTACAACCTCCTCATGTTGTAGAGTGTGTCCCTGTCCCCTAGTGCCCGAACTGTGCGTGGCATCTTGTAGAGACTGTGTTCACACCCTTGGTACTTCTGTAGGCCTTTGGAGGTCTTCGTACATTATGTGTGTATAACTATAGTATAACTATGGAATGCTTCGCACAACCTATCCTGGCTAACTCACAATGGAAAACAATACCTGGGGCACGCCGGGCACGCGGGCTTTTGGTTCTGAGGTGCGTGAGCAGCTGGTGGCCATTCACCAGTCGCTTGACTTCGAATTCCGGAAATGGCGAGATATGTTTGCTGGGAGTGTTTTGGTGATGCATGGTTTGTCCATCATCAACTGGTATCAGTTTGGATAAGGACGTGTAGGGGGCCTATAGACACCATGAAAGGAGAATCAAGGACACTAGTTTGTTTTAGTATCAAGATGTGGAATCTGAACATCTCGGTAATGCCATAAAATGCCTATTTGTTCACCAGTAAAGCCGTTTCCCAAAAGAAACAAGGAAAGGTTGACCATTGCCTTTGGAAATAGTCGGTACTGTCTGTACACAGCCTCTTCAGTCCCTTATATACCACAATTTGGGACCAAGAGTCTTGAGCGGGGGATATATAGTCGTATTTGGCTTTGGATTAAGCAAGAAGACCCTGAACCCGCAGTTGTTCTTCATCTGTTCCATTTACTTGGGTGTACCGTGTACCCCACCATTTGAAGATGGACTATGGGATGCGAACAAGTAAGTCAACAATTTGCAAGGTCGTTCACTCCGCATGCCAGTTTGATTTCCTTTGCTCTTTTTTGCTGCTTGCTGAACCAATTTGTGTCAAATTTTCTGGTTGATTTGATCGTTTTCGTGGGGAAAACGGTCTTGGATCTCCTCTGTTGTTGGGGAACCTTTGGAGAACGCTGTATGTTTTCCAGGTCCCCCTCCAGCGAATTCCGCCGTTTCGTTGCATAAATCGACTCTGAGAAGTTGATTTGCCTTCTTCGAATCCTAGGATCCTGCGATCCTTGAAAGAAGGGCCAAAAAACCATGGGCCATGCTTAACAGACTCCAGTTTTTCCAAAGGGACAAAACCTGTACAGATTGCTTACATATGGACTGCCATATGCTTCCCTTTGATTCATGCTTAACAAATCCATTGATCCACCCATACAGTCGCCAGTTCGGCATCCCTGCACTCCTTATCTGAGGCACCCCCGCTGCTCCTTCAGCGTGTCCTGGAAGGTGGGGTATGAGTGGACCTGCCGAGATGGTGGCTGTGGAGGTGGTGTTCGATGCCGCGATCGGGTTCCCAGAAGTTTGGTTTGGACATGGCTTCCCCCAAAGCATCGGATTTCCCCCAAACCGGCTTTTTTGGGGTCAGTTTCACGAGATTCACTCGTCATCTCCCTGGTGACCTGCAAGAATTTCCGAGCTGTAGTAGCAAAAGCCTTGTCCTATGTAGGCGTTTGGGTCAAGTTGCTCTCTTGAAACTTCTCTTCAGCACTTTCGCCAGGAAACATACCCTGACATACATTCCATCCCACAGATTCAGTTTATGCCATTTCCCGTAGGCTCTTCGGCAAAGTCACGTTATTCAATGATAGGGATTCACTGCTGGTGAACTGTTTCTCATGTTCAGGCCCTCATGAGCAGTCTAGTCGAATTCGCCCCGCAGCTAATTCCACATCATCATTTTGCTCCCTTCAAAGCCCCTCCACCCTCCAATGCACCCTCGGGTGCGAGGAATCATTCCGACAGAGTGGAACAACATAGGAGGAGATAACAAGGAAAAACACAGTTGGAACATCCAGCATCAGAGGAGTCTTGTCTCATATGTCTATGTCTTAAGGTATCCTTTTTCAGAGTTTGGGGCCTAGGCTAAGAGACCTCGACTTTTGGTTTATCAGCTCGATTCGAGGCCCTCGTTGAAGATCTGGTTCCGGATCAGATGACTTGGACACTGGAAACTTCGTTCCGAGCTCCCTTAGCCTAGACCGATCTGGCTCTGGCTCCACGAGTCCGCCCCTTTCGCGGGTTTAGTCGGGTGACTCGTTGACCTGGAAATCGAAGACATCGATGAACCGGAGAACCACATGGTTCGGTGGTGAAACCTGTCCAAGCCCCGGAGAAGTACGGCGAAGGGCGATGACCGTTTCGCATCCGAAAGAACGACCCCAGAAAGCCCCTTTCGTCGCAGGACCGTTCCTCCGCCCACGACGCCGCCGAATGCGGCGGGATCGGTGGCGGGGGCGTTCGACCCTTAGGGTCCCGAGGGAATCGGTCCGAATCCTGGACGACACAGATTGAGGAGGTGGGCTCTAAGAAAGACCATCCATTAAAAGGAGTATACTGAGAACACCTCATTGGGATCATCCTTTTAGACCGCTTGGGGGCTTGTTGGATCGCTTGTGAGGCCTTTAATCAGCAGCACCAGGGACAGAGCCATTTGGCACTCTCCAGGCAGGGAAGCTCACGACGCTACCAACGGAGCTCCTGGCCTTACTACTAGGAGCATGGATGCTACTAGGGGCTCCTAGGAGCATGGACGCTACTAGGCACCCTTGAGATGAAACCATCTCTTTAGCTCCAGTCAGATGAGCCTGGCTTGATCTTGCTTCATTTTCTAGATTGGGTTCTGAGAACGGCGAATCGTAACAGCGATTTCCTGTTCGCTCGTGGTTTGGTGTGCTCAAACTGCCTCGCATCACCAGGTGCGAATCCCTCTTGGGTGTCTTCCTGGTGGTTGGCAGCGCAGCCGTCTGGAAACCTTGGCGGTGTGTGGGGTGGATGCCCAGACTGCTGAGAATGTAGTTGGAGTTCCTAGATTCTGAGGGAAACTAACAACTAATAGCAATGGCCTCCAGCCTAGGACCGATGGCCTGTGATCATTTTGGGTACAAAGACACCAGTGGACGATTTTGGATGCTTCGTCCGTTTTTGTCGATACGTGATTGTCCAACTGGACGGCGTGTCACCATGCATCGCACCAAACCTGCATGGCACCATGCAACGGTGGGAACCATGCAACGGTGAGCTTTGCGCCCAGCTGTGTTGATCTTCGGTTGACTCCGAATTCCGCGCCACCCAGCCCTATAAAGTGGTCCCCAAATAGATGACCATGGCACGATGTCCAATACATTATTGGTGGGCCATTAGTGAGTGGGATCTACTTTCTATCTATTTTTGGGTCTAGATACAATGTTTTGGGACAGTGGATCAACTGCAGATGAGCGGAGCAGGGATTGGAACGCGGCAAGCTCATTGTTTCCAAGTGGTGCAGGACTTGCTTTTGCCCATCAACCACATTTGTCGTCAAAACCACGCATGAAAAGCGTTCGTATAAGTAAGCCAAAAGAGCCAGAGTGTGACACGTGGTTGTGTTTGTTTCATCAAGCAGTGGGGTTCCTGACGTAATTATGGTGGATGGACAAAGTCTTGTATATCATAGGAAAGCCTGGAAAAGTCTTGCAGGGCTTTGTCAATCAAATGTATCCCCCATCAGATTTGCATGTCGGACACCCTTTTATTTGATGTCCTGGCATTAAACAAAAGGGCGACCCTCCACACTTCCCACAGCGCCAGAGTTCAGTGCAGTCCCCGTGGTCCCCATATGTCCCCATGGTCCCCGTTGTCCGGTGCCCGTCGAAGGACAAGCGCGGTGACGGCGACCGTCCCGGTCTCCGTCCCAGGTGTGCTTGGTTCATCGGGAGCTGGAAGCGACCTCACCGAAGTCGCGCAGGCGCTTTCTCCCGTCGGAGCGAGGGGCGTCCAGGTGGGCGGACGGAGCTCGGTACTGACCAGACAAAAGTGGCGCTTCAAACTCAAACTCATCACAACTACAACCCTTACCCCCTAGAACCCGACACTGGAAAACCTGGGACAAATCAGGTGTGGGCGGTAAGGCTTTCGCACCGGAAAGCCTTTTATTACTAAGGTTAAAACGATGTGATAACTGACCGTCCCACACCTGCTACAAAAATTGGACTTGGTATTTCGATCCGCAGCTGACCCTACAGCGTTTTACAAACATGGTTGGCAAGCATAAGCTTTTGTTTGCCTGAAGTATTATAAACAGAATCATGAGGAGTGCGTGCCTTTTGCTTAAGTGAGCAGCTCCCCAGCAGCTGCCTACTGGATATGTTTATGGTTTTTAGGCGGGTCAAAGGGATTTGGACAGTTCAGACTGTTCTGTTGAACGGTGGAGGTGGAATGTTGTGCCAGCGCAGAGCAAGATGTACCTGTAGCCGCGTAGCCGCGTAGCCATTTCTCACACGCACCTCTCAATTTTGCTCGTACGATGCGACCAAAAGGGCACTGAGATTTCACAGGGACGGAGTTCGGAGATCTCCCATGGCATCAAAGGTGAAACACCCCAGCCCTGCGAAGGTTTCACCTGGTGGTCTTGGCCAAGTTCATTCTGCAGGAGTTTGGTTGGTCCTGTCACCGGATTTGGAGTTTTTGTTTCTTGTCCAAGAAAGACGTAAATTACTATAAAGAAAAACTACTTTGATTGAGTCGCACGTTTTGGACTTTGCTTTCTTTTCTCTTGGGTCTTGGGTGTAAGGTTTTTGGGAGGCCGGTGTTTGTACAGTGCCCTCAGCCCTCAGTGACCAAAAGATGTTGGTTCTTTCTTCTCGAGGTCACTTGGAGGCAGATTCTTTCAGCTACTAAAAACACGTCAGTTATAGTTATAGGAGTCACACCCTTGGAAATATGAGTGTGTATTTCAATTGGTAGTCACACCCTGGCTCAATGGATAGGTAATGATTCATGTTAGGTCTTCAATTTTGGTCTATGTTCTGAACCTTCCGGGGGCTCGTTTCCTAGGAGGTCTCCCTATTTAACATGCCCATACAGCTCATGTCAGGGCCCACGAACTTCCCAGTCAGACCGACCAATATGATGCTGTTCATGGATGCATATGTGAATGCAATTAGGGCAACGAATATAGAAACATCAGGCATGGATCAAGTACCAAAACCCAGACCCGTAGGGATCTAGCCTGCTCTAGTTTATCCATACGGGATCTAGCCTAGGGATCAGTTCGGGATCCATAGTTTATCCATACCATACCCCCTTTTTTCCTCAGATCCACTTGACTCAGATAGTGAGGGACCATTTCAGGTGACATCCATCTAAGAGACTAGTTCTACTGTATTTGTGGGCTAGGCGGCTAGACTGTGGCTTGGTCATTGGAGAGCTTGATGCAATGCCTCAGCAACAACGAATGGGTCAACAGTCCTTTTGTTTGTTTATCGATTTCAACGTGGCAAGAGCGACCACGAGATCTTAATCGTAATGCGATTGGCGACCACGATGTTGCTGTTAAGAATCCGTGTTGCTGTTATCTCCGGTCTCAGCTGGATACATTTCACTTGAGTAACTCATGATGGGGGGGTAAAAAAAAACGGCTTGATTCCTTTCAGAAGTGTTTCTCAACCACCAACTGATGCAACCGGACATATATTTTACGCCGCCACCACCAAGTCTCAGGGAATCACTGGCCCTGGCCCACGAACTCGATTGGTCGGTCCAGTGCCTTCCGTCCAGGTCTCTCTCTTTCGAAGAAGAAACCCCTTCGACCGACGGTACGTGCCATCCAGGACGTGCCACAGCAAATTTGCTTTGTCCTGTACCTCTTCGGATGGTACGAGGCCGCCGCGCGGTCCCTCGCCAAGCCGCCGCGCGGTCCAGCCTGCCTCGAATTTTTGGACCAGAGCAGAGATGTCAACGTGGGCCAAGCGCTATCATTCTGAAGGTATCCTGAAGGTGCATCAATCTAAGTAGAACTACAATATACTACTGCTACCGCCCCTCGCCACGGATGTGTGCCAATGGGCAACTGACGGCTTGGAAAGGTGTGATATAGACAACTTTAGGTAATACGAACCTTCAATAGGTCAGCCTCAAGCCACTGCTTCCCTCCTGAGGAGGTGACAGGAAACCCATAGAAGAAGCGAACATGCAACACTTGTCAAACCACTTCCGTGCCAATGTCACCAATTTCATCCTGCCCAAGCTTGCCTCAATCTTATCATGATTAATCGTTAGACCCTCTCTGAAGTATCCATCCCAGATCCCTTACAAGCTACAATGAAGAACTGGTGGGCATAGAACGTGACTATATCATGAATAGTATATATATATATGTGTATGTCTCACATATATATATATATATTACAATATATAATGTTTAGCTTCCAAAACCTTCTGCCTTCTCACCACGGCCGGACCACGCCACCGCCACCATCTCTTCCAGGCAGGCGGCTTGCGGTGTCAGCTGTGTCTCTTCGATGCGGAGCACTGCAGCCACCGGACTTCAGAGCATCGGCGGGGCTGCGGTGGACTGGCCCATCCGGGTCGACTGTCGTACCTTCTCATGGCACCGTCTCATCACAGTGTCTCCTTCCTCACCTCCGTGAGATAGGTACGGATCTGGTGGGTGGACAAACTCTCCTCGGACTGGAAGAGCCAAAGCGGATCTTGGCTGAGAAACCACCTGAAGTTGGAGGAGATTGGTTTCAGTATGCTTGAACACCTATATTGGCTCAAGAACTACTACCCCCAAGGTATGCCAAAAGATGCCAGTCCTAGTTTGGGTTTGGGTTGGGATTTGCGTGGTCCAAGGGGGACAGGTGTTTTTGAGAGGTGGAGGTGGAAGATATCCATACCAACAATTGTTGTTGGTGGCTGATTTGAAAAAATAAAGTAACTGTAACCAGTAAACTATCTCCTGGTTGCTGTAGCCGCTATGGTTGATTTCAACCATTGAAGGTCTATGTGATTTGTTAGACTCGCTTTTGGGCAACAGATCGACTTCCTCTTCAGTTCCACTTGCCACAGCAAGGCGGTCATCTGGTTGCAAGTATATTGAGATCAGGCAAAGAACATTGCAACGGCCAATTAAAAGGTTCTCATCACGATCACCTGTTTTCTTGTTGAAGGCGCTTTGACAAAGCCTGGAGAGGGCAGATGAAGGCACTACAGTAAATAGACATAAGTAGACGGGTAGTTGTTGCAGGCATAATTCGATGGAACAGAAAGTAACCAATTGCCAATAGCCATAGCAGCGTAGTCCCATTCCCACATGGGTGCCCATTGCAAGAAGATACTTTCAAGATCAGATGTTACAATATATGTTATATAGAAGAAAAGAAGGGCCTTAAAAGCTTAGAACATAGCACCCGATCCCCAGTCCGCAAGCACAAAAGACAATCGACTGAGGCGATGAGGATGCATTCCACTTCAGCAATGTGGTAGTTGTTGGCTTGGGCCTTGGACATCTTGGGCAATGTGTGAGACTTTTGGGACGCAAGGGACGCATGTCTTGCGCCTTGTTATTGGATTTATTGGGGACGCAGGTTGAGCAACGAACCGCTCATCCGTTCTGAAAAGGCGATTTGAGCAGTGGAGTTCAGAAGTCGTTTTGAAAGTCGTTTGGAGCAGTGGACATGGACCACATGGTGTTTCAACTTTGCTCCTCAACCAACTTGTGTTGGTGTCCATGTTGCGGGCAATTAACAAATCTGACCAATGCTCGCCCTTTTTTTGCGGGGGGTTGGGGGTCTTATCCTACTGCACACATTGACACATACTGAAATACACACTGATTTGTTCCATCAACTCAATGACTAGTAACTAGTAACTAGTAGCTCTTGCTGCCCAGTTCGCCAGCCTCACATGGATTGTCCAAAGTTGGATCCAGTGCTGGTAGAACTCACCGTTTGCTTCACATGTGTTTGTGTCACAAATCTGGTGACCTTCAACGAAGGACCCCCGACACATGGCAAATAGACCTAAAACCCCACTATTATAGTGGTCCCCAAATAGATGACCGTGACTCGTGACACGGTTTCCAATACATTCTGAACATGGGGATCTACTTTTCTATCTAATTTGGGGGGTCGATCATCATATGATATGTGCATTATATTTGCCAGGTCGACCTTCCATGTTCATTTCCACATCCACACTGGTACCACCAATTCTTTGCCAATGCTCAACTCCTTTGAGATCTGAAAACCACCTGAAGTCTTGGAACCCGCACCGGGACCCGGCACCTCTTTTTTCTGCCACTTGTGTTGACCAACTGCCCAAGCAGCTGAACCGCCCCCCTGAGGTTTGATTTTAGTGTCCTCCCTGGCCAACCAGCTGCTGATCCGTCCCGTGCGGAAGAGGCAGCCAACTCGCTGGATGCGCAGTGTCAAGCGGAATGGAGGGATGGGCGGCCTTTTTGCTACGAGCAAAGATCACCAATGCCCTTCATGCTGCGAAAGCAATAAGCGTTCGTGTTATGGGGTTGAGCAGTTGCTGAAGGAAAGGCGATTGGGGCTGGCTGAAGTAGGACGAAGAACCTTTTGCAAGGACCACACAGTGAGTGTGGTGGACAATGCTCAGACGTGCTTATCAGCATGCATTTTCATCATGGGTCAGGTCAGGTGTGTGGGCTTCCCAAAAGCCTGCGAGCTAGAAACTACCAAAACAAGCAGCTTCATGGCACCGGTGCACCAGTGCTTTGAGTTGCGTGAAGCATCAGGTCTGCGACCGGTTCGGGGTTGCCTGTTGGTTGAAAGCACAACTTGAGTCCACCGGGATATTGAAAAGTGCTCAGTCTGTAGTGTGGTGATGTGTGGTAGTTTGGTTTTCTGTTGGTCATGTTGGTCAGACTTCCGGCAACAGTCTAGGATATATATATATATATAGTGTGTTTTCCAAGTGCGAGTTTGATTATTGCTTAATCTTAAACATGTGTACTGTACTATACGTACTCATGTTCTTCTCTATGCCTTTATGCGGATTTATATAATGCGGCACGCAAAGAATTGCTTCATCTATCTATGTCGAATCTGTCGGAGCTTTTGAATATTGAAAGGCACGCCGTTGCACGCCTGCCAGGAGGTACACCGAAGATGACGTGTGCATGCACATGTGGATCCGCGTCGGCGGCACGTGCGCCCATGCATGTTCAGCTACAGGGCTCGCCTTATTGGGGTTCTAGTACTTTGTGGTCCATTCTATCCGTTGGAACAATTCAGTTCGTAGCTGTCTCAGTCCTGAATGTCTTCAATCCTGGGTTCGTCACAAGTTGGAGCACTACATTGGGGCGGAGAAAGATGCATCTGACATTCTGGACATGTGTAGAGGTACCTCGAAAATATGTTATAACTTCAACATACATCGGCCATATATTTGCAAATGTCCTTTACCAGTGACCAGTTTGTATGGCGGAGCGAAGAATATGGCAGCGGAAGGAGGACAGTCCTGTGGCACAACACATTTTGACCATGGATGAGCTGTATCTGACTTGTCCAGTGAGTGCAGTATTGTCACCCTCTTTGGGTGGGCCTTTACATGCCTTTATAAACATAGCTAATATTCTATATGACAGGCATTGACAAAATTGAAGTGGATGCCATGGCCTCGAAAGAATCACAATGAACTCCCAATTACCAAACAACCTAAAGCCATCCACTTCTGATGTTTTGTTTTTGTCCCTGCAGGGAGTATATTAGGTACTCAACCACCTTTGCATTGGTGTGCAACTGCAGTCTCTCCATGGAGCATTTCCAATCCGCAGCGATAGGAAAGCTGAGAAAGACAAAACCAAAAAACGGATCGGCAAATCTGCTCAGATCTGCCAGGTGCGTTGCCACGCTGCCCTTCACCACGGGACTTTGCCTCTCATCCAGGAGCAAATATCGCTCGCTGCGGTGAAGGTTCTGTTATGTCACGGTGTTGGTCTCAACACGTATACCAGCAGCTCTCAAACCCTAAAAAAATAAAGGTCTTCACAAACCATCAAGTAGACACCATGCTTTTTGGTAGCGAAAACCCGGGCAGTCTTAATGGTTTGTGAGGCCTTTGGTCGTCTCATACCCCATGTAGACTCTATCGATCATGTCTCGGCATGCCTCGATCGACGTGGTGACCTCGATCGACTACCTCGCGGAGCTCAGGGGTTTTCAAGAGGCGCCCGAAAATAGAGACAGCGACCCTGACTAGGAACAAGGACGCGACGGACAGGCGGAGCCCATATTCTTAAGTAGGTTGGAGGCCATCGCTAGTAACAAGAAGCTACACGTTGGGCCATGAGACGAGCCAATACGTCGGTGCCGTCGGTAGGATGGGAGAACTGACGTGTCTAGGGTGACACACCTGTTGAGCACGTTGAGCAAGTCTGTGGAAGAGTCCGTTTTTTACACGCTTCCAAGAGTGCTTCCATCTGGCAGACGCTTCCAAGAGTGCTTCCATGTGGCAGGTCTGTTGTTTCCTTCATGGACCTTTGTAAATACACCCTCTTGGAATGATCATGGAAGTGAATGGCATGATGGCATCACTCACCTACTGCTTTTGTGGAAAATATTGGAAAATGGTCGTCCTGCCGGGGCCATGCCATCCACGATTTCAGGGAGTGGAGTGGAGGGTTCATGTACCACACCCAACTTTTTCATTTGGTCCAACTTTAAATGTGTTTTCTGCATTATATAACACTAACAGCCTCAATCGGCCCTTTGTGCCGCTGTGTGTTTTATACCTCTTCCAACCCCTGAATAAGTTGTTCCATTTGTCTCCTGATTGTTTGTGAGTGGAAATGAGATTGTTTTTTTGTTCAACCTTTTGCCACCTTTGGACCCAAATCCAACATCAAACGAACACAAACCTTGGCCACCGTGCCTCCAAGCCCTTGGCTCGTGCCTCCAACAGCTCATGCCGCTAATGCCGAGATCGTCTTGCGAAGCCGTCCCCCGAGTCGACATCCCCAGTCGACCAGGGAAGACCAAAGGACCAAAGGGTAGATATGACACTCCTTGGTTTATGACACATTGATAAAGGTGGAAAGCAATCAAAGTAGCCATCAACCACCTATTCCGTAACTATTTGATATTCAGATATTTCCATGCCATAGTCGTTCGAAATTCGAAATGATTCATATGTCCTTCCACGTAACCCTGAAATGTCAAGGTTCATCCACACCGCGCCAAGCCTCCCAGGAGCCTGATCTCCCAACCGACGCTGACACATGTCCTCTTTGCCGCACCCTGCTTATTGGGATGGTTGAGCATCACAGGCGGGCGACCTGCGAGGGGCGCGCACCAGTGAAGGATGCGGAACGGGAAGACCCAGCTGGAACGGCATCTGGGCAACTAGGATAGATATTTTGTGGACAGGGTGGTTGAAGATGGTGGAAGGTGAGTTTTGGATAGTACAGTCATTTAGATAGACAATTGGTTTGGAAGGCTTTGGCTGAATTTCATATATTTAACTATTCACAATTTAACAAATCATCAAAGATCTTGTGATGTGAACTTGGTGCGGCCATTCTAGATCAAAAGGGTTGGAAATGACAACCACAGTGTCCTGTGACCTTGGAATATGTAGTACTTATCATATCAGCTAAGTATATACCTCCTTGGAAAGGCCAATAATTTTCTGTGTTTTTCCCAATGTTGGCAGATGTTGAACGGTTTCATCTCCACAATGTTAGCAGGTTTGCTATGAACTGTGAATCCTTTGGTTCATGTTTCATTTATTTTGAGTTGCAACCCCGTGGACCCGCCAACATTGTTTTGGTGTTTGGGTGGTCGGCATCCAGAAATCAGGTCGGAACACTCAGGCGGAACACAGAGATGTAGGTCGATGTGATTCCTTAGATGATTTCGTGCGCAACATCTTTGTGTTTGTGTTCAAAATTAATACGGAGCCCTCCTGAGACAGGATTGAACATGTATTTGGCAATCTGATACTTTCCCAACTTCTTGGGACAGCTTTTATTAGACTGTGTTTCTTTTTTGTGGGATTTCCTACATGGTCCTTGGTACAAGACTTTGATCGGTTGCTTGCGGAATTCTGCCCCAAAGGGTTCCAGGGTGATTTTCGCTCATATCGCCCCGGGCCCTGGGTCTCGAACGGGTGTTCTTGGTGGATTACTATATCACTAGCATCCTGGAGGCGTCTATGATGCAAATTGATAATTTCACAAGCACCATGCTTGACCAAAGCATTAATGTTTATTAATGTTCTGAGATGCGCATCCTTACTCAACGGAGAAGGATTCTAAAGTTGACGACAAGTCAAATTCTGTATACTGTAATAAACCATTGGAAAACTGTGACGACTCTGTGGCGGTTCTTAATGGCTGGCAGATCCCTGCAAGTGGAAATGATCCCATGGGAGGGGCTTGGATGGACATGATTCAGACCGGTGAGTGCTTCCGCTGTCTTCATGAAGAGGTGGACAGCATGGGGCCATCATTCTTTCTGGGAAAGTAGTAGAAATAGAAAGTTACAGGGAGGGATTTGTATATTTATATACTGTACGGACGAGCAGGTATCAAAGACCAAGAACTAAGGGATAAAGGACCCTTACTATTAGATGAAATTAGATAACAAGATAGGGTGTCTAAGTTCTTGGAGACTTCTTAAAGTCTTGGTTCAGGTATCAACCCACTTTAAAAACTTGGACAACTCGTACTAGTGGGTCCTCCTTGACCCACCGACAGTAGACTGGGAATCACAACTGCCGCTGTGAGCAGCCGAATCGGCTCAAACACGAACAGTACGTTCTCATAACGGACTATATGCATCATAGGATGCATCAGTTGACCATGTTATTTGTGTGTTCTGGATCTCATGCCGCGACCTTCACCGTACTAACCTGCGAACCGCAGTAGCAAAAAGCCGTCTCAAGCCCTTGCCGGCGCACCCATCAACCCTCCCCTGCAAGATGGGCATTTTGGGGAGTGCTCTCTCGAGCTCGTCAGATGCATTTCTCTGAGTCCCTGAACAGCTTCCCTCCTCGACACTCGGGAGCCGCAGGAGTCGCACACGGTCAACCAAACCCTGCACAGTCAGTGGATAGCCAACCTAAATTCCTTGAACCAACTTGAACCGTGTTTCTTTTCCAAACAAAAAAATAGATAAGGGAGTCAGAAACAGATCACGTGAATCCTGCGACTTCGCTGATCGGTTCGCTCCATCCCGGCGATCCTCCGATGGCCGATCCCGGCGAGGCCGGCGAAACGGGTGACCTGGTCGCTTTCCGTTCGTGGAGAAAGGATCCGGAGCTCGGAGGTGGTAGGAGAAAGAGAAGGAAAGCCACAAAACCACTTATACCAGGGCCTTCAAGGGGTGGTTAATGGACACCCCCTTAACGGCTAAGGGCACCCCTTGGAGGATCCTGGTATAATGTCACCTCTTGAACATCTAGCGAAGTGTCAACTGCATCGTCTTGTTTTCGAAGTGACCTAATCTATCCACCCTATCCGTGTCCGCTCTCTCCCGAGTCCACACGGACCCCCCTTGACCACGGGGCTGAAAGGTGGGAAAGGTGAGTGTTTGGCGGCGATGACCGTGACACCACGGAGACAGGGACTTCGATGTCACACCATTCATCGATCCACGCAAAAGGTGGTGCGCCTGGAAGTCGGAAGGTGGTGCGCCTGGTTCAGCAGATGTTGGGTGGACCTTATGTTCTTCAACTTGGACGATCCTGTTTGCAGATCAGGTTTTGAAGCCAGAGTGCGTGAACATGGACAAGATGTTGGAGGGCAAGGGCAACAAGAAGCTTAGCAGGGGCAAAGATGGGGACCAATAGCCTCTCGAAACCAAGAAGCAGTGTGCTTCAGCTTCTTGCAAAGCCTCTGTTCCTTTGAGTTATGTTTCTTTTATTTCGGACCTGCTCTATGTATTTAGCTGTTGATCCTGTAGCCAGTGTTGTTCACAAGTTTTTTTGTTTTTCCAAGTCTCTTAAAGACTACAGACTATGATCTTTCATGCATATGTATTCCGTATTAGGACCTTGTGGTTTCAAGGTCCTGGGTGCTTTCAGGGGTGTCTCATCCTGAATCCCATCCCAGTCTCCGACGGGAAGAGGGCGCTTTCTTCGGCGCTGCGAAGTGAGGGTTGACGAGGGACAGGAGGACGACCTGGGACGAACGAGGGACAGGTCGTCCATGTCCAAGAACGACCCAGAGGTTGTCCATTTAGTTGACCGGTGGTGTAGGGTTTCTTTCTGATCGGTGGTGTCAGGCTGATGAGTTGCATGGCTCGGCCAGGCTCCAAAAGAAGCGAGCAGCTCAGGAGGTGAGCAGTTCAGCGGTCTCCCGTTGGGAGTCAGGGTCTTTGGTCTGAAGCACTTGAAACATCTTGAAACTATCGAGAGGCTAAGCATGGCTAAGCCATCGTAGCGAAGTCAGAGGGAGTTTCAACTCGTTGGTTGCTTGAATTATCTCAGTTCGAAGAAAGCAGTTCAGCAGCAGTTTAAAGATTTGCTTTGCCTGATGATCCTTCTCGATGGACGAATTCGAGCCCAAACCTCATTAGAGCCCCAAAATAACATCAAGATCCGACCTGGCACGGTTTTTGGTGCGTGCTCGGATCTACGCGGCACACACCTTGCGCGACCGTCCGCAGGCGCGACGTCGAGCGCTCGACATGGCTTGGCCTCATGGGCCTCCAAACTTGGACAGAAGGCAGATCCGTCGGTGTCCGTATACATAGCGGGAGGGCCTATACTCACACGCGGGGAGCCGGTGTACACGGGCGGTTTGATGGTTTCTGGGGGTTGGATCGAAAGTGTGGAGGTGTGCATGTGTTTGTTGGAGTTTTTTTGCGTTGAAGACGACAGGGTTTGTTTCGCACAGACACTTGGGGAAGAGTACATACATATACAGGTACAAGGATCACCTTTCAATGGGTGCACCATAGTATGATATACCATCGATCGTAGGGACATGAATGGGACACCAAGTTCACATGATCACAGGATTCTTGTTTGATCTGAGAATATCTGAGAATCATACCTTTATGAGAAAAAACTGCCTGCAATGATCACTGCAATGTCTATTAAATCCTAAAATAATTAGTGTCTATAGAATCCATTAAAAGCTGCCTGCAATGTCTATTTAACCTCAAAAGATCTGAGTGTTCTTCGTCACATTCACTTGCCCAACCTTCCAACTCTTACTAGCAAGAAACACGACTGCTAGTTGGAGAGGTTCACTCACTGAAATCGCAGGCGTCGCCTTGACTAGTCTTTTGGGAACCTGCTTTTGGAACCCGTGACTCCCACCCCAATTGCCCCCATTGCCGCGACCCCCATCTCCCCGCCTCATCGGCTAACCCGCGACCCGCGCCCGGAGGCCTCTGAGTTGAAGTCGGTGACGCAAACGGCAATGCAGCAGACCAAGGAGGCCGTCATCGGAGAGGCCCAAGAGACCGTGGCATCGAATTCGGGTGGTCAAACAGGGCAATGACGTGCGTGTCACGGGCCAGTTAGCGTGGAGAGGCCTGAGGAACAACCAGAGAATTAGTTTGCAATCACATGGGAATTGGATGTGCATCTCGCAGGTGGTTGCTAGGTTGGATGGAACAATTCCATGCAATGAACTGTCGTTTACAGATGGGAAAACGCACAAGGGTTGCGAACTTGCCTCCAAATGCCAAAACATGATCTATATCTTACAGGGCCGCTATAGGGATGTCTTGGGTTTTGTTGCTACTTAAAACGACTACTCGATGCTTTCAGTAGTAAACACTATGCAAACCATCAGTCAGAACGTTGTAGTCCGATGCGCCAGACGTCTCGTCCCGTTCGTCACGTGCTCGCGCATCGCCACCGCCAAGTCCGTGCGCCAACGGTCCTTTGATGCGCTGGTCGACGTTCGTGCGCCGGACCTGTCCTGTTTCGAAGGCCAAGATCGTGGCGAAAGATATGGTTGACTTGAAGGTGCGGAGCGATGCAGCCAGCGCGGGAAAGATGCAATGCATGTGGCGTCATGTGGCTGTGTAATAGGGAGAGCCCCGAGAGCCCAATGGGTAGACTGGTATGTTTCCTTCCAGGCGGTCGATCTGGGAAGTCTCCCTTTTTTCATTGAGTTTTGTTGTGTTTAACATGCAATAACAATCTCAACCCTGGAGAGTTTGTCCCTTTGGGGATGTGCGGCACATGTGCTTCCGTGATTGACTTCTTACGAGGTTGGCATATATTGACCGTTCCTGCTTACGCCTTCCAGGATGTATATGTGCATAGATCGGTGAAGTTGTTTTGAAGCTTTTCTCCGATCCTTTGGAAGGGGCAATCAGGTGCTTTCAACGCAGTCTCCTGAGCTGGTCGGGTGTTGGGAACTGGACCTCATACCAGCTCGGCACTTGATGCATTAAAGCAGTCGTAACTTGACACCCGTAATGAAAACATCCAAATGAACCGGTTTTACACTCCAAATGGGAGGGATGGTTTTGATGAATCCAAGGACCTACACTTTGTTGGACCCCTTGCAGTTGGGAAACTCGCCTTTCACAAGGCACTGATTAACCCGAGTCACCCTTGTCGTCCGCGGAGGGTTTGGTCGGAACATTGGGGAAAGTTGCTGGAACATCCGACAGAACCTTTGGAACCTTTGCTGGCTAACAGCAGTGACCCAACTGGATACTTGTTTATATAGAATTATAGAGAGAGGTACAGATATACACGGGTGAAATTGCACTAATTTATTTTGAACATATTCTCAAGTTACCACTCCACATTCTTGCACAATAGAATGCATTCAATAAGTGTCTGAAAGCGCTGGTAAAATGGCAAAGGCCTGCCGACTGTGCTCTTCCTCCTCGTGTTCTTTTTCCTGACGCGCGCTCTAGGGCCTTGAGTTGGTCGGAGCGACTTGGTGATCCTTTTTTTACCTCGAGTTGATCATCCAAACAGACCCAGAAATGGCCAGAACACTTACCGTAAGAACCCCTAAGTGTGTCCACACTGTTTGGGGAACAATTTTACATCCAGGTTTCTTGTCACCTTCCTACTCCTTTTTGTAGCATGGAGAGAAATAGTAGACTAATAGACTCCCCAGGAAGTGTAGGTACCCTGACAGTAGTTGTTACGAAGCATCTCCAATTCTACCACCGACCATTAGAAATATTTGGACTACTGGGCTTTCCACAGCGAGGACGGTGTGGCAGAGGGCATGCGGCTCACGGTGCAAGACAGCCACTTGTTGCGGGAGAGGCAAGGCGGATGAAGGGATGTTTGGTGCTTTCTGTTTGTTTGAGTGTACATGAAATCGTCTAACATCTATTACATTATATTACAATTCTATTCTGGACTTTGACATTTACAACCACCCTGCAACACTGTATGTTATTGCAGGCATTGCAGGCGTGCATTGTGTTGAAGGGTTTGCTGATGGAGTAGTTGACTAATGGACACCCCTTGTCCTCGTAGATTCTGACTTGTTTGAAAGTTCATCAGATCTTTTGAACCTCATATTGACTGTAAAGCGATGCTTGGCAAAGGGTGATCAGCCCAGTGAGGCCATATGAGGCCATGCCTTTGAGGGTGGAGCTTCGGCCTGCGGTCACCAACCTCAAAAAAAGAGGTGACCCAAAGCCTAGGGTGTGCACTATGTCTTTGTACCTAACCACAGGTGTTCAACGAGAAGCTCAGAGCAGGCTTACCTTTTTCTTCATGGCAATGGGTCCAGACCGCAGGACCCAATGGTTCTTCCCACCACCGAACATGAACAGAATAGACGACCTAATTACGGGCTCGAGTGTCAACCTACCAGAAACTATAGGGCTTTGGCTCTTGACTAATCACATGGACCTGTTCCAAACACTGATGACTGGGAAGCCGATGACTCGGACGAAGCAGTTGTTTGAACTGTCAAGTTTTCCAAGTCACCGAACGGACAAAAATAGCAGCTGAGAGGTCCTTTGCCTTGAACTTGTTTAAAATCAGGTTCGATCAAAAGCTCGCCGCAATCTGCCGGATGTAGATATCCTTGGGCTACCACGCGACATGTCCATGAACAGTAGATCCTTTTCCGCTTGGTCAGCCGTTTCCGCTTGCCATACCACTCAGCTCCTACAGCCTCAGCTTCCAATCATTTGTTTTCAGGTGCCGCCAATGACAGGATGACAAAATATTCCAAGTGTCACAAACCCATCACAAAGTTGAATGCGACTTCGTCAAAACTTGCTGGGATTTAATTTGTTTGGGGTCCATTCCAGTGAACTCGAAAGCTCGCTAATATGGAACTTTGGGGTGGGGTCGAGGTACGTACATCTACGATAGTGCACTGATCATCAACATCCTTCAGAATGGCACTGTTTTCATTACTGTCATAAGGATCTGCAAAAAATCCACGTCTTGGTAAAGGTTTTGGTGACCATCAAGTATGTGCATTTTGTTTCTGGACATGCATGCTTAGATGGAATGTCGACCATCCAAACAACAGCATGGAGATTCTCAGATTGTTTTAACTGCTCCGTTTGTACTATTTCTACTCCGCCCATTCTTTTTGTCTACAGAAGAGATCAGAACCTCTTTATTTGGGAAGAAACGCCTTTCAGAAGCCACATGGTCGTCTGCTAAGAATGCGTGTGTCCTTTCAACCGTTTTGGTGTCTTTGCAGCATGCGATTCGCGCCCAGCATTTCTGGTCTTGACCTCGCCCGGTATGCTGGGCTGACTCAGACTGGCATGAAATTGGGGTCTTGGCCCAAAGCCCGCGATCCGTGAAGCCGTGACTTCCAGATAGTATACCTACCCTCAAACAAGTGCAAAGACTAAGAGGAGAAGACATGACTATAACACTTGCATGTTCCTCTTTTGGAGCCACGCGAAGTGAAGAAAGCTCGTCGGGCGCCAGGCTCCAGCAACAGACACGGAAGGTCTTTCATCGAGAGGAGATGAAGGGAGAAAAGCGGCGTGTGGTCCATGTATCTGTGCAAGTGAGGTCCAGGATCTGATATAAGGAACCCAGATTCCAGGCTACTTAGGCTTCTTGCTATTGTGGTAGCCGCCAAATCCGCTGGTGAAGCAAAGGGTGCACGTAGAACATGGCTACCTGGAAGGCAGCTTGTGCTTCAATTTGTGTTCAACAAACTGTTTTTTTATGATGCTTGCCCAGTTTGTCCCAGTTTGTCCCAATTTCTGCGTCAATGACACTGCTAAAGCCGCTGCTGCCCAGCCTGTCATACCTTGAACCCATGTGTCCCTCAAGGCACTACAAATGCGGAACAGCTTGGCTGTGCTGAATCAGATCAAGGGGGCCTCTTATTTGGGTTTCATTATAGCCTCTTGCATCGCCAAAGAGCTTGTCAACATGTTTGTTGTTTTGGGTTGGAATGGACACGGGCTGGCCTACTGGTCATCAATAGTAAATTGATCCTTTTTGGCCATTCAGTAGATTGATAACCCGTCATACATACTATAGTATTGTAATTGTGATTCTATGTGGCAAAGCTGGAGGAGGCATTAAGTGGGAGTATGAACTGCAATGAAACGGTTTGAGGATGATGCTCTTGCGGTTCTGCAGCCAGAATGTGCATGACGGAGAACATGAAAAACACCTTGGTGGATATGTTGCTGTTACATAGCTGACCTCCAGATGATAGCAAATAATATAGCAACCAAGAAGGACGCAGAATCCGGTAAAGTAATTATATATATATAAATATGGTTGTGTGTTCAATAGGAGACCCCAATCAATGGGTTTTGGTCTATGTTCCTCCTTCCCAGGGGAGGTCTCGCTATTAAGATACGCACTCATACAGTGGTTTCAGAGTAGATGGCACTAGCATCCCAAGATGTTTGTTATATGACCCCCATAACACCACCAAGCTTGGGGATTGTGCCATCTACACTGAAACCACTGTATGTCGAAGAGTCTTTTCAGCGATCCTGTCAAACCCTCTCCCCTGGTCGTCTCAGCGAGGAGTCCTCTTCCGCTGGGGCAACTTCAACATCCTCCACCGAAAAAAGGCCGATCGGTTTTGGGGCGTTGTTTACCAAAACAGGTGATGTTCGATGTTCGACTTCCATGGGATTTTGTTCGTCAGAGAGTATTATACCAGCACCCTCCAACAGGTGCTTCCTGGTGACAACAGGTGCCAGAAACCACCTGTTAGGGTCTCCAAACAGCCTGGCCAGGAGGGTCCTGCTAGATATATCATCAAAGAGATATCAAGAGTCCACATTAAACCCCAAAAGAGAACTGAAACAGAGGTCCCCCGAACCACCGTGCCCCTATTAAGGGCTCGTTTTGTTGTCAAACGCAGCAACAGACAGTGCCGCGGCCGAGCGCCGGGGTGGTTCGTCGGAAAGCCGACCATGACCATGAAACACGTCAGAAAGCGTGGGAATCGGATCGTGTTGGATTCCGAAGACCTGGATTTTACTGCTAAGCTTGCGGGGGGCCGATCAAGTAAACACCAAACCAATGCGACAAGACACAGATGGGGCATGATGGGGCCGATCATTCGCATGTTGGCCACATGTGTCACTTGTCACCTCCCATTCTGCATGTTCAACTGCTGTGAAGCCCCACGTCCATCCGACTAACGGATCTGTCTTCCGGGGTCTGTCTCCAGTTTTGCAAGGCCCGAGGCTGAAGGCACTCCAGGCTGGTAGGGCGGAGGGCGGAGGGCACGCCGCCAATCCAATCGATCTACTCGGCCAGATTTGTTTTCTGAGAGGGATTAAAGGGACCCATTGAGCTAACCTGCTCTGGCATTTATCATGAACTATAGTCCCACAGTCCTGGCCTTGCACATCAGGGAAACATCTATACTGGAAAAACAAAATCCATAGTTCCATAGTTAGTTTTTGATAGTTTTAGTATATGTTTTATAGTGGTGAAAACAGGCAGATGTTCACGTGGCACCGATTCATTGACTTTGTGTTTTCTTCTGCGCCCAGATGTTGGAGACGTGAATATTTCGGATGACCGGACGTGGGCGCCCACCAGGGTCCTGACCCTCACAGAGGTTGGAGATGGAGACCCAGGCTACATTGCAGTGGCGCTGCTGGGTGCTGCTGGGTGCTGCTTGCTGCTTGCGGCTTGCTTCTTCTGCAGAATCTTCCAAGCTCGTTTCCAGGTGAGAAGCACACCGAAGAGGCGCCGAAGGGTTTCTTCCGACCCGACGCCTGGGCAGCAAAGCGTTCTTCGAATCCGGTGGACGGGCGTGGTGGACGTCAATTCCCGGTGTGAGAGGGACACCGTCCTTCCCTGGGGAAACGACTGTGACTGGTTTGATGACAACCAGGATCCGAGGGACGTTCTTGGTAGATGACCAGTCCGACCCTAAGCATCAAATCTTCCTGGCCCACCTTTCAGAATTTCGAGAAGATGTTGTTATGTGTTGTGGACAGAACTACCAGGGCCCCCCGCCCCTTCAGGGCTTAAGGGATGTCCATGAACCACCCCTATCCGGCCGCCCTACTACCATAGGCCACTTTTCGGGCAAGGATCGAGGCACCACTGGCGCCCCACGACGAAGTTCGTGGGCGCCGGCCGAAGGCTTCGTCGCCACGTGTGTACCGCCGAGGAGACCACAGAGCAGCTGAAAGGAAAGGTGGAGGACCGGTATTGGAGGGGGCAAACAGGACCAGACGCCAGACAAATGAGATGCTTCTTGTTTCATCCACGTCAAGAGAGGCTCTGGGAAGCGAACGAAGGCGCAGACGAAGCGACCGCACTGCGCACCGCACGAAAGGGCGACGTCTTGCCGCCTTGGCAGGATCTCAAGGCTGGCGGGAAGAAGGTGCGATGTCAGATGTATTAGTGTAGTTTCAGCAGGAACCTTTGGACACTCTTCCTGGAAGGTGCTTGGGTGTGCTAAGGTCGTTTTGGGATGGACCTTGAGCCCCAGCCCCGTGAACCTCCAGCTTCCCTCTGAGGTTGTGGACACCAAACAGATTCTTCAAGAAACTCCCACCTGGTTCGGTCATGTTCGGACAAATACCACCCACATTCGTGGGTTTCCCTCTGATTTCAAGTCATCGAACCGCACCCTCACGCCATAGGATTTACTCATGTCTTGATTCCTTTGCCCACCCTCCAGTGGCCAAAAACTAGCGGAAGGCTCTCGAGTCAAATCCTGTGTTGGTGACTACACCCACCCAATCAATGTGATAGCCTCGTCCTACGACATGTGCATGGTTGGGTTCGACGAGAAAGACCCAAACTCTGGGACCCACTGCAAGTCTTTCTACCCTGATCCGTCAGTGGCAAGTTGGCTGGCAGATTGTTTCCCTTATCGAGTCGTCCCCGAATGAAGCCCGCAACGAGCGCGATACAAGACAACTGGGTCATCATGGGTCACACAAATCCAGATTTGTTTCGTTCGCGGTCCTTTTTGACCATGTGCACTGCGATGCCACAGGACGCCGGATAAACAAGAAGACTTGCAGCTGTTACCCCGTGAGTCTGAGGTGACTTTGAAGAAGCTGGCTGCCCAACAGCTTAAAACCGAGATCCTATCAGTCGAGTATGTTCTTCCACCCCCACAAAATCAGGCACCATCTTCACATCAATACGCATTCACCCAGTTCTTTGCCGACCATCTACCGACCCGCTCGGTCGTCGTGTCGTTCCGCTCTACGCTCGGCCCTTCCGTCGTTTCGGTTCCGCTCGACCTCATCGTTCGGGAAGGCGGCCGAGAAGGTCCGGGACGTGGGCGGGAAGCTTTGGCACAAGACGGACCATTGGCTGCTCGGCGGGTCGGAGAGTCCTCTTCAACGACCTCTCTCATGGAGTCCTTGAAGAATCGGTTGGTTTTTGTTGGGGGGGTTCTCCAAGAGGTCCATGCGGGAAAAGGATGGGAGGCATGCCTGATACCTCATGCGGGTTTCAGCTATAGAGGTTACTGCATGCTGGCTAGCCGATCAAAGCTGCAGGTTGCAGTGTTTGATTGTGCGTGAAGATTCTTCTGCCACTAGAATGGACCCGGATCTTGGAGTTCGTGCCCCAGTTTCCACATCAGCCGACCTCGGCAGTGGTGCGCCCTGGACTGAACGCCTGTTCCAGCTGCGGTGTGTTGCCGAAACATCAGGCGGAAAACAATGGAAAACATGTCAGAAGACATGGCAAACCTGATGCCTGCGCAAATGTTAGAATTGGTCTCAGAATACATTCCAGAGCACATGACAAAAACCCATGTCAGAACACATGTCAAAAAAAGACATGTCAGACACAATACGTTTGAATATATATATATATATGTATAGGTGTCAGAACACCTGCCCAAAGAAACAAAAACACGTGGACACATATGTCAGAACAAGTGTCAGAACACATATAGTATGTCAGTCATAACAGTACATTTCAGGACATATGCCAGGTTTGATATAATATCAGACTTGTTGACAGGACAAGTACATGTATAAGAACACAGAACACATGCCAGAAAGCATGTCAGAACACACTCCAGGACTCCAGAACATTTCCCAGCCTTCATGATAGGTGTCAGAACACATGTCAGAACATTATGTTTGTGCACGTGACAGACAGCGTTTATTAGCATAATCGGTCAATACTACGTGTGCCCTGCCAATCGCTTCTCAGGGTCGAGGATGGATCGAAGTAAAGTAATTTTGCATGTCCTGGAAATGGGGAACCGCCGGACCATCCCCGCTGTCCTCCACCGGTTTTCACACACCGTGCACCAGTGGAACTTGCACCTGTGAAGAATCTGAGGCTCCAAAGCCTGCGAGGGCACGAGGCTGGAGAGGCACCGTTTTACTGTCCAAACCGTTGGGTATGGCATGCGGCAACATGATGGCAGTGGCTTGCGAGGAGGTTTCCAGCAAGATGTTGAAGAAGATGACTCATGGTTCCAAAGTATAGTTCACTAGAAGTTCTGGCAGTATGACAGGATGGAATATAATATAATATTGCGCTTGGGATGGAAACCGGCACATGATACCCTTCCTTTGTTTAGCGTGGCAGGTTAGCTGGAATGGCAGTTTGGAGGAAGAGGAAGAGGATTTAACGTCAGACCCCCAAAGCCTTGTCCACTTTCCTAAGGATATGAACAGCATGGAACCTTCGATCCTGCTCGTCTAACCCTTTTGGTTGGTTTCCATGTTGAATTGAAGAAAATAGCTGAAGGGCCAACCAGACTCCGGTGCTGAAAGTCAACGATGTTGATGTTTTCCAGGGGAAGACAACAAAGGTTTGCCCAGATGCTCAGCAGGAAGTGACGGTGGTGGAGGAAGTGCCGAGAAAGGAATGGAGTGAGAAGAACTTCTCTTTTGCACCTGTCTAGGGAGCCAGTTGGAGCCAGGGGGAGTATCTAATTCTTAGGGTGTAGCCCGTTACCAGTAACAGTTGGTAAAAGATGATCACTATTTTTCAAAAAGGCCCTTGCTAACCATCATCATCCACTGTTACTGGTAATGGGAATATACCCAAGATATTCTGAATCCGGGAGCCAAGGAGCTACAGGACGTTCCCCACCCCTTTTGCTAGTTATGGATTTAAAACATGACCCAAAGGACGAACCCTGCGGGGTTTCCGGGAAGCGACCACGTGAACTTCGGTGTCGACATTGTTTTCAGTGGTGGCTGCGGCGTACACTCTCAGAAAAGACCAGGTTAGGACACCTGTCTTTGTAGTTGCGCTGCGGTTGCTACGTATATGTGCCGGAGACAATGCGGCAGAAGCCATTGCCGCTGTCTCCAAAAGGCCATTGCACCGCAGATCAATTTGTTGCGTTCTTCTGCCCCCAATCCAATCGAACATCGCAATCGCAACCTGATGGCAGTTCAAGGACTCAACAAGCAGCCTGGTCCCGAAAGTGTTCCAGGCGCACTTGCCCTTTGTCGCTTATATAAAGGCCAAGGGCTTCAGTCCACCCTTGCAGTATATGTGAATCAGGCGTTGTGGTCGCTGTGAAAAAGAGACATAACCCGCGACTCACCTAACCCGGAATTTTGGTCCTCGTCAGAAAGCTCTGCTTTTTACAGTGCTAAATGCACCCACTCAGCTTTTCAACACTCAGCAAAAATAACTCATCCTTTCGAGCTGGTCAACGAGAGATCCTGCATCTTGAAGCACTTGTGAAGCTCTGACATCATGTCTCAACTCCCTACAAGGAGCAGCTTTCGTGATGAGTGGTGCCAAATCTGCCGCTTTTGCATCACCTGTGCCTCAGATATCAGGAAACTCCATCATCGGATCCATTTGGAGCATCTATGAGCATCGGTCTATGATCGACAAACAAGCTACGAACGGGGCTGGCCTTACTACGAACGGAGCAAGAAGCTCTAGAAACAAGATATTAATATAATATTACTATATATTTGCTTAGAATTAGAATTCTATGAATAGAATTCTCGGCAGATGTATTTATTAGAATTATAAATTAGATTAAAAAACCAGAATGTTTGAGGGTCTTGTTCAGCTTGTTTGACCAAGCTAGTTCTTGTCCCGTCTTCGGAGCGGATGGATAAGACGCTGCTTAAGTCACTATAAGTCAATTATTGTTGATGATTACAGTTGTTTGGTTGGTTTCTCCAGTGTTTAGATGTTGGTTTTAAGTTATTATATATATATATTCTTCAGTTTCAGTGGTTCGTTTATGTTTGTTTGGTTCAGTGTTGAGCTTCTTGGGGTCTTCGTTGGTGCGGCATGTTGATAGTACGGGGCCTCTCAGGGCCATCGTGACCATTCGTGTTTTGAAACGGCGCGATTGGCCGGGAGGATTCGGGAATCGGAAATGGCCCAGAAGTTCGGGAGCTTGGGGGTGCAAGTTCAGGTCTTTTAGGAACTCAAGCGGAGGAATCAGCAGTGGATCTGAAAGAGTCTTGAGCTCAAGAACTTATCAGTTCAGGGATGTTCAGGGAACAAGACTTGTCAAAGCACAAAGAGTCTTGAGCATGAACGGATCATCAGTTCAGGGAACTTTGTTCAATTGGTTTCTGCATGTTTCTGCGCATTTCCCCAAAGGAACACCGACCCCAGACGGGGAGTCGCATGTTCTTCTCTAGGTGACCTAGGTGCAACTTGATGCAACCCCAACTTGGGTGATCAGCAGGCTAAACATGGCCAAACAATGAAATCTATGTCGCTCGCACCGTCATTTAGACTCTGCTCGCTGTGGTGTGCTGGCAAGAAAGGTAAGTCCCTCCAAAATATTCAGCCACCACCGACCCATTTGCCGCCATTGGATCACCGCTGCCAGGTTCTGTGGTGAAGACAGGGTCCTTTTTCAATTGTTTTCACACCTGTAAAAATTGATTGGTTTTGGACACACTTTCACATACTATCGTCCGCTGAGTCAGATTCTTTCTGTGCGATGGAGTATTGGGGCATGCCAAACCTCCCACAAGTCGCGACATGTTTGCGACCTTTCGTTTCGCGCGTCGAGGCTGGGAGGAGTGTCACCAAAGAGCGCTGCAACTCTACAGCGATGCAGGCGCCCGGTCACTGCATCAGTTTGAGGATGTTTCATCCTTTTCAGGTCGCTGGTGGGTTTTACGTCAATCATCAAGGAACGGCTGATTTACAGGGACTGGTTAGCTTAGCTACTTCGAAAACATATACTCGGATGGATATTGTAAAGGACATATAAGGAAATTTGTTATATATATCAGCAGTTTAATCTCAAAGTTCTTGTTTAGATGTTCCTTCCTTTCTCGCCCACTTCGCTTGACTTCAGGACACCTTCCTTTGCCCACAGCTCGTGCCCCGGATTTAGATTATATAATTTACTATCATTCCCTTAAGCTTGTGACTAAACCCAATGCTCACACAGAGAAAACCCCGCTGTGAACAACACAGACAGGTCTCCCAGAACTCTCAGACAGAGAGGTCGGCATATATATCCAACACTTTAAGGGAACCAACAGGGGATTGAGCCGGAACGCGCCAGGTGTTCCTGCTTGGGCCTTGGACGAGCTCAAGATGCTTGGCGATGGAGGATGAATCCTGCTTGGTTGGTCCATTTGCGCCATTCGGGGTCTGACAAAACAGGTGATGCATGCGAGAATCATCATGTAGACGGTTGATGAAATATAGGCCCCTCCAAAGCTGGGATATGTGAACGTACCATCCGTGGAAAGCAGAAAAGGTTTGCGGTTGACTGATTCACAACCAACTCGATGTCTTAATACTAAAGTGTTTGATGAATGGTCTTATACCAGGACCGTCAGTGCGTGACCTTTTCATATCGCAGCATGAGGTCACGAACAGGCCCGTGTCAGGGTCACTCTTAGAGAGTCCAAAGAGGTCACTCTGAAGGTCTAGGTAGTTATATAGCTAGAGGTCCATATGTTTTATTGCAAGAGCTAGTATAGAGGCATCCACCTGTTGGGACAAAAATAGCATTGCTTGTCAGCTCCTGGAATTCATGCGCATGCTAATGAAGTCCAAACGGAATCAAAGAGGTGATCGGTGATCTTCCAAATTTGTGTCATGACATGTCGCGTGCAGATGTCCACGTGCACAGACAGATCACTGTTTTGTATTGTATTGCTACAACACGTTTGGCGCGGATCGTACGCCTTTGCGACTGAAATAGTCGCTGAGCCATTTTTGTGGCATGGGTGACATGTCATGGGTGTTCCAAAAAGACAGATCAACATTATGATCTCGCAGAAATGGGATTGGGCAAGTGCCCTTGCCCAGTCATTTTTGCTGGAGATGCAACGGTATGTACGTACGGTGGCCTCACATTACTTCGTGTAGGATGGTCTTACTGTACCATCCACCAGAAGCGAACCTTGTCCGCTCAGCACCAGAACCGGGGTACTTGCGGCATAAATCAGAAATGATGTACTAAGATCTGCCAAGTATGCTTCCACAAATGACTTTATAGATCTGGGTTGTACGCACTGATAGTCATCCGAACACAAAGCAAGTTTGTCATGTGTTTTCCATTCCTCCATATGCACCATTTCTTGGATAGCCACGCGTTCTCGTGTGCCCTTTTTGCTTACCCAGACTCTCTGCCGTTTTTGAGGACGGGCTTGTTGGAAGCCTATGCGCAGTCAGCTGTCCCTTGGTGGAATAAGTCTGTCCCAGCCACGGCAGCCGTCCAGCAAAACGCGCACTAAAACGGACCGGGAGTCGCCAGCGGGTAGCGGGTAGCATCGGGTAGCGGGCAGGTTCTGTTCGCTTGGACCTGCTTATTGGTGATGCTTTGTTTCGGGTTCGGGGGGTGTCCAGGTTCTTGAAGACGAACGTTTCCAAGTCTTTGTTCCAAGCAGATGGGAACTTAACTGACAGCTCCGATTCAGGATGTCCACCAAAACCCACTGGCTAAGTACCAGGGTTTGGGTCCCGTGACACCACCACAAAACAATAAGCTATAATGAAAGACACTCCTTTGGTAAGTTGTGGCCCTTCAAGTCAGGCAGGCAGCCGACCCCCCATGGCCCTGTCCGACCAAACTGGCCATTCCCGCCTCCGCGGACCCCTCCGCCGTAGACCGACCAGGTGCTCTTTTACGACCCCGCGGACCCCTCCGCGCCCGCGGCCGAGCCGAGCTCCAGTTCTGGGCGACGCGGCTTCATCGGTTGGAGGACTGAGCTGGGCGAAGCAAAGGTCACAGCGAGCTGAATGGTTGCAGCGAGGTGACCGGAGGAAGCGAGATCACTGGTTGTTTGGTACCTTGAACATCCAACCATGAATCGATGTTCATGTGAGACTCAAAAGAAAGAGGATGCATCATTGTTCGAAAAGGCCGGTCCCCAGTCTCGCCCAGTTGATCAGTTGGATTTGTTGATCAGACATGATCAGAAGATAGATGCAATCCAAAATCTTTTATGTTGAAGGTTTACCGTTCGGAAGAGTGGTTGTGTTGGGTTTCTTGGCCCGCAGGCAAAAGGATGTGCAGACAACACCTATATAGCGGGCAAAAACACACCCGGAGAATCTGGGTCTTTTGAGATCTTTTTGGCATGGATGCGTTGTATTTTTTTCAGGGTTGGACAGGTGGCTCACAGCTTTGGGTATGAATCCTATTTGGCATAAATCTAGAAAAAGATACCTGTCATTGATGGGGTTCAAGAATGATACCCGTCGCAGACAGTGCATATATATATATATACATACACAAGCAGCTCCAAAAAGGGTGCCTATTGGAGGATAAGAGTGGATATGAGTGGATTATACATAAGGACTCAAAAGCATTCCTCTGCAACACTATGGTAGCATTGCGGTGTGGTACACCAAAACCTGTTGCGCACTCAACTCTCATGGGCAAACTTCTCAACTCTCTTGTGCCCCGCCCGAGGAAAACCAAAGGTTTGCCTTCCGAAGTTTCACTACAGGCTTACCTGGGATGGTTCACATCCAGCAAATGTATGTTTTTGCCCGGCGCCCCACAACAGTTGTGTCATGAACTTGTCATACCAGACTTTACTACATCCTACAGGACCCCCCAAAAGAAACACGTTGTTTCCTGGGAGAAAAGTTCCGGCCCATAGCGTCATAGACCTTGGTTCCGAGGGTCTCATCGAACCACAAGCCTCGACCACACTCTGTTGGCCTCGCCAAGGTACAGCGTCTCAGATGCGCCCGCAGTGGGTGTAATTTTTCCACCTCCCAGTGTGGCTGTGTATTGCAAGAGTCCACTGCGAAGCGAGGGCGCCAACGTTGACGTGCATGTCATCAGCTTTAGCTACTGATCTGCATTGATTTGTTGTTCCTTATGCATTTCCAGTCAATCACCCACTTCGGGCAGGAGCTGTCGAGCAAAACAGCTGAAGTGGTTCACCGGGTAACAGGGCTGGACAGCAGCCACGTGATAGTTTCCTTACTGATTACGGCTGCACCTGTCCGTTTATTATATATAAGCCTGTCGACAGTGATCTTTTTTGTATCGGATTTGATCGATGTGCCCTGTTTCTGTCGGATAGTCATCACTGTCATCACTCACAGAGTTTGGAATTTTTTGGGGCCTCAATCCTCGATGCAGGTGGGGTAACACAACTTCAGAGATTCGTGGGCGCATCGCTCTTGTGAGCGCACGGGGATAGAGTCGGATTTCGGTGAAAACCTCATTTCTGTGTTGCAATTTCTGGGTGGTTTCTGCCTGAGTCTATTCTGAAATCCATGCCTTTCGAAAAGGCAGAATGCTTCTCCTCACCTGCCAACACACATGGGGCTTGAATCACCAACCATGGCCCGCACAACTGACTTGAGGATCTCTTTTTTTTTGCAGCGCTGGAACGATCATTCAACATGCCAGCTAGCAAGTTGGGGCCAAACCTTTGAAAAGAATAGGTTTCGCCACTTAACATGTGTACCATGGCTACTCTTTGGTATACAGGTAGAAACTGACAGGTACGTAGTTTCGATGATACAGAAAGGTGGTCAACGTCAGTTTCTATATCCCCCGTGATTGTGGGCTTACAAAATGCAGATCCTTTTCCTTTACAAAATGCAAATTCCAAGACACATTTTATAAACATTAGGGTTTGTTTTTTGTTTTTAAGGATAGCTACATAAGATCTGGAGTATCGTCATTTTATAAACTTTACTAACTTGGACACTGAATGACAGTAATAGAGGGCAGGTGAACCCCATAATCTCATTTTATAAACATTCACTTGTCGAGTTGTCAGAGGATGGTCAGATCATGATTTCTCATTTTATAAAGATCATGATCTGGACTGTCCAAAAAGGTATTGATTTTTTCATATGTTTCTAAAATCCTAAATTTTGAGAAATGGCCTCAAAACTTGTCAAACCTCAAGGAAAGACAGGAACTGAAGGAATATGACCAGGAAAATAACTAAGAATTAAACATTAACTAGCTACTTTTTCTACACTTTTCTCCTCTCCCCCTGTCTCTGTGTATTCCCTTTACGGGGGGAGACCGGTCGGAGACCGGGCACCGAGAGGCGACCGCAAACGATCCGACCTTGGCCACACCCCTTGGTCGACAGGGCCGTGGGGTCTCGGTGTTGGATGTTTTGGGCCGACCGGTCTCCCTGGAGATCGGCGAGGTCTCACATTTGACCGGTGGGTGCCCAAGTAGAGTGACTTAGTCTGACCACCGTAAAGGGAATCGACACAGAGACAGGGGGAGAGGAGAAAAGTGTAGAAAAAGTAGCTAGTTAATGTTTAATTCTTAGTTATTTTCCTGGTCATATTCCTTCAGTTCCTGTCTTTCCTTGAGGTTTGAAGAGTTTTGAAAAGTGGGTTCAAATTTAGTTGTTGATTATTGAACATATAAATTTTCAGAATATGAAAATTCAGAATCTGAATCATTACTAAAGAATAACTATATTTTCAGAATCTTGAGATCTTGACATGACGAATTTTCTTGTTATAAAGTATCCGGATTTGGCTTCTTACGGACATTTCCAAAGAGCAATTCGCATTTTACAAAGTGTTTCTTCCTGGATGTCGATTTCTATCTTAACCTATCACAACCTGTGCTGGTCATTTTATAAACTAGTTGGTTTTTCATTTTATAAACAAAAAAACCTATCCCACACATTTTATAAACCCACAAAGTTTAAAAAAATGCAAAATCAGCGCGCTTCTTGGACGTTCTTTGTGAAAACGGGTACCATTTTCTGCCTAATGAAGTTGGGTGTGAGCTTCTAGGTATGAGTTCCCTTTTCGGATGAAATCAACTCATGTCAACCTACGCGTGCAAAAAAACGCAACACTCGCACAGGTTCCTCCTTCTTGGACCTGAGTCACCCAGAGAACCAAGACTTCTTGCCCATGAGTGCTGAGAAGTGGAAGGCCCCGGGGAGTTGCGAAACGACGTTGAACGAGACTCGACCAATTGGACCATTGCGCCATATCGGACTACTGACTACCTCACTGACGCCGCTACATACGAAGCGGTCACGAAGTCGGCTTGAAAAAGATGGAACCAAAGGAAAGACTTGACAAAAAGTGTACCTTTGATGTTCGGCGTTTGGGTTTGTCTCGCTCCTTCAATCCTTATTCTCAGTCTCGCCTCCCGGCCCCGGAGGTGGTGACCCGCAAAATCCAGTGGCTTTGCGGCACCATCTTCTCCTGTGCGTCCCAACGTCGCCTCGATCAAGTGTCTTGGGACCTCACCAGCGCAGGCGCCCGCGGGGACGCTGCGCGGCGCGGAGAGCGAGTGCCATGGACATCTCGGGAGAGCGAGGAGGGCCTGGGTGCGGGTGCAGCAGAAGCTAAGATGAGGACATGAAGAAGTTGAGTGACATGACCCATAAGAAACCCATTTGTACGGAGGGTTTGCATGTTTCGGGGTCTACCTAGCCCACAAGTGCGAGGGTGCGGCAGACCTGGACTCCTTGCGTCATGACTGAGTTTAGGTCCGCACATGGTTTACTCAGCATCATGTGTGTGTTGCTTGTTCTGGGTGCGGGGCAGGGTCCAAGAAGGTCCAAGAAGTATGTTTTTCAAACACTTAGATAGATGAATGTAATGTGCTTCGTTTGCTTCGTGCCCGTCTCGTGTTTTGGGGCACAAAGTCAGGCCCTCACCTGGCCCACCCGGGCGCCACACGCCAGGGGCAGCGGCCGAGTCGGACGACGCGGCGGCGTTGCGGCAAGTGGTGAAGGCAACGGTGAAGGAGATGGAGTACCTCTTCCAGGTGCTGGGGCCAGTCTAAGTTCATGCGCTCGAATCACTCAAAGGCACCGAGAGAAGGGTTTAGTAAGGTGGGGCGTGTCTATGGTCCGGTGTATCCAAGCAAAAATGAGGTCCTCATTTGGAACGTTTGGAGCCTCTAAATGTGTTTTGAATCTATCCTGGTGAGTTCTGTCCTGAGCAGTAGCCCTGGCAGGAATCCCAAGTCTACAAACTGCTTACTGCACACTGTTGTATATTATGATATTATACGTATAACTATATGATAAGTATGATATACTATATTATAACTATAAGTATTATTATGATATGCTTATGATATTATGATATGGTCGGTACCGAAGTTCTGCACCGGAGCACCGGATGTGTTGCACCCCGAAGTTCTGCCCGCCAAACATCCAGTGTTCGTTCGTCCTGGACACCCGTGTCTTTCTTCGAGGAAGTCGACGGGAACCTTCGCCGGAGGGGACAACCGCCTGGATCCAACCTGATCGCTGTGGGTGTTCTCATACTGTTTGGTGTTGTTTTTGCGATAGACAGGAGACGAATGGACATGAGAATTGCGGAAAATAAGCCACAAAAGAAAGAGAGCAGTATCATCGTGCGCAGTGCGCAGTGACTCAGGAAACCCAAAGTAGAATTGCAGTACTCTCTTGAGGTTAGGATTGAAAAGCTCTAAGCCAAATTTTTGAGGCAGCGAAACCCCGTCATTGATTGGAATCATTGGGGGTATCTTCCCACTGAAGTAAATAGGAGATTGGATCTCCTTGTGGCTACGGGTGGATTCCTCAAGAGTTAGCAGTCGTATCCCTTAATGATCCTTAATGTACACTCTTGATTGACAAAACCGCTCATATGAAGAGGTTCTTCAATAGCTGTCTGGCCCAAAGCCTTCAGCTGAGGGTTCGGGTGCCCCGGGGAGTGGCAGCCACCCTCGCGGGTGGTGTCACTCGTCCATAAAGGCACCTTCAACCTGGTGTCAACCCCGACGTGTGCCCGTGTTCTAGTGATTCCATCGGGAATTGTGACCTCGCCATGGACCCTATGATTTTGTCAGATCCTTTTGACCTCCGCATGAAGAGTATCCTGGACACCATTAGCACTTCGTCGACGCTTCTCCGGATTCGTGACCACGTGTGCTTTGCTGGAACTCTCAATGATTGTGAGTTGGATTTGCTCAACATGACCCTTATGTCCTTTTCCCCCGGGAAAGGCTTTGTGACGGTCCCGGATTTCCCTAAGACCGTACAGGTCAAGATTCCAGGTGTGATGGATAGAGCACTTCGCTTCATTCCGGACATGCAGGTAGTATGTTGTGGGAAACTCCTTCAGCTTACTGATGAGGAAATATGCTTGTCCTCTGGTGCCATTGTCTGCCCGCGACCCAACTTTGAGCCAGATCTCGCTCTGAACTACATGCATGTCTTTGCTGGTTCATTCTCAGGATGGTCCCAAGCTGCAAACTGGTTAGGACGTTCTCCCACTGGCCATGCCATTGGACAGCAGATATCAATTGACTGCGATCAGACTGTGATGGAGCTTTGGTCTGCAAAGCATATGATCAGACCTTACAAGGCACCTATCCCACCTCAATATGCTTGGAATCCTGCTGCGAATGTCGGTATCCTTGCCCATGTGGATGACTTCACAGTCTTGCACCTTTCAGCAAACTGTTCTAATTTGATCATGACTTTGTCACCCCCGTGCCCAACTTGGTCCCGCGGTGGTCGAAGCCAGGGCCTCTCCCACCCTGGGGGATGGGCCTTCGTAGAATCATTGGAACTGGCGATCATTGCTCAACCAAACATTATTTCGGCTGAGTGTGTGGACGAGATCGTCTTTCACCCGCACTTCATCTTTATCCAAGAAATTCTCCAACGAGTTGGCTACATCAGAGTATTCAGCCAGAATGTGAACCACCACCTTGTGTCTAACCACATGCGCGCTCGGTGGTTAGCTACTTGGGTAAGACAAGATCTTTCTCCCATTGTGTTTGACGCCAGGTTCACAATCCAGGCCATTCCTCGAAAGCCATGGCACTCAGAGTGCTATTCATTCAGCATCCCACAAGTATGGGAACGCCAGTTGAAACTGGTAGACTCCGAACTGGATATCTATGGAGATGAAAAGCTTTTGCCCAATGCTAAGCGCAAGTGTTTGCCGAAAGAGTTCACACCAGCCCAAGTGTTGGAACTTCGATTTCCCAAGACAAATGAAGCCCTTCCAACATTGTGTGCCTCATACACCTCACAGCATGAGTTAGCCATGCATCACCTTGAGGACAAAGGAATTTTTGCCTTCTTGGAGAACCACCAGAGGGGCATTTCTTTCTTTGACCCCCTTCGGTTTTGCTCACTTTTTGGTGCATGCGAGGTTGTTGTTCTCCCCAGTCGCCTTCAGGAAGCTTTTCGTGGGGTTGGCAATGCCATTACTGTCCAACATGCTCTTTTGGCAATTGTGTTGGGATTGCAAGCAGTCACTAAACAAAGTCTCAACCTTTCCATGCTCATTCAGCAATCTTGGGAGAGCCGTTTGATCAACTCGAACTCGGTCGTTTTCCTAGATGGTGATTTTGTTTTCTTCGCCCCAGTCGAACATGCATTAAGGTCGTTTGTGACTCCGCAGCCACCTGTCACCATGTCAGGCGAAGTAGAAGTGTCCCTTGCAATTCCGCAATGCTGGTGCTCCTCCTCTGTCCGGGTCAGTGGAGACACCAGTCTCGAATCCGTCTTTCGCCAGTGCTTGAAAGGGCCAGCTGATCTGATTCGTCAAATCAAGGTCGAGGGGTCAGGCAAAGCAGAAGGTCAACCATCGCCAGTTGCAAAGATGGTCAACATGAACAAAGACAAGCAAGTCCATATCAATGATGTCCCAATAGGGTCTGTCTCAGCACATGCCATCTCGCAAGAAACCATTAGCAGTGCGGCACCGATTGCTGAGGTGATCATTTCTCCTACGGCTCCTTTTGAAGCTGCGAGTCTGATCGACCCTGAAGTGCCTCGTGAGATTGTCATCTTCGACATGCCCTTTGAGGAGATTGTGCTCACCAAAGAGTTTGGAATCTTCTTGTCAGCCATTGAGAGAGCTCAGAGTGGTATGATAACCAGACCATGTCAGGTCAAGGTTTTATGCCCTGACGTGCCAACCACCTTGGTTGCATTCGTTGATGTGTGGCAAGTCACTTCATTCAAGCTTCAGCTTCAGCATTTGACCCAGGCATATCAAGGCAAGATCTTTTCAGTGGACAACACTGCAACCACTGGGTCTTCGGACCACCTGGTGCTTCAGACTTGTTGTAACCACCTGAAAGGCCCAGTCGTATTTCTGGAATCCGAAAGTGTTGATCTTCTTGCTGTACGATGCTGTGACAAGCTCTCCATTGACACCGTGTTCCATTTACATAACAACCCGCTGGCTATCTCTACAGTCAATGGCTCCGTGATGGAAAACCCTTGGGTGACAATGAAAGATGGGGATCCAATTTTCCTCAAGCCTTCACCAGACATTCGTGCAGGAGGCCACCATGGCTACAAGGGCATTCCCATGACCCTGAATGCAGGTGCTTCGTTCATACAACGTGCAGCATACGCAACAGACTCTCATGGCTGGTTAGCCACAGATGAGCTTCATTACATCTGCAAGATGATCCAGGAGGCCGGAGACAACACCATGGTCTTTTCCCCTTTGGTGTTTTGGGATGTCAATCAAGATGACATTGAAGAAAGCCCATTTGGGACCTGCACATTGATCCGAATGTCAAGACGATTATTCCCATTCTCCACCAAGCGCATTGGGGTGCTGTCGAGGTCGAAAGGTTTGACAATCGCGCTCATGTCAACATCTGTCAGATTGCTCAGCGCTTCCATGACAGATTGGTCCGCATCTTGGCGAGGCGCCTCGACTTGGGTCACCACAAGATTGTTGTCCATGTTGACTTCAATGTGCCACCTCCGCATTTATGTGGATGGGTGCTGATCAACAAGTGGATCACGGAAGCCCAAGCCATTCCATGGTTGCCCGATGTTGCGCAAGCTCTTGGACCACGTCCTCAAGCCATCCAAGACACTATCGACCTTGTTATCAATGCGTCCCTGGAAAACTGGAGAGATGCTAGGGCCACTCCAACAGTTGCCCTCATTGCCGCCAAGCTTCGACGGGATTTCCTTTGTGCCTTGTACCAGGATGAAGTCCAAGGATTGCCAATTGTTCAGCATGAAATCATTTCTGCCTTCCCGTTCTACTATGTGCAGCCACCTCTTGGCCCGCAGATCATCATGCTGACGACACATACTATGCCTTTCAACATTGAGGAGAAAATTCAGGAACGCTTTTCCCACCTCTTTCTGCATAAAGGGTGGATGGCATCAGATGAATTTGACTTCCTGTGTGATTTTGCGAGGCGAATCAATCCAGAGACATTGATCACTTCTGCAGCGATCTGGTGCCCAGTCCGACGCGTGCTGATATTCCCACAGAGCAAGTCACCAGAGTTGAGGCCATATGGTCATATCATTTGGCCAATCATCTTTCAGCACCACTGGATTCAGTTTGAAGTGTACCGAGCCACCCAGTACAACCAAGTGAACTTGTTGGTCACTGCACCTGCTGCCATCCACCAGATGCTTGGGGGCATTGTGACAACACTCATCACAGAGCTGGATGTCGTTCCCTCCAACGTCTCCATCACCTACGTCAATCAGGCCACCCCGAATGGCATGTGCGGCTATGCGTTGACAAGAGATATGTTTGAGCGCATTGATGCTGGCCTTCCTCATGTCGCCCCTCAAATTGAGCGATGCCTCCAGCTCTCTCCTCACAACGGTTTGGTTGCAAGAGTTCGACAAGGAGATCAACAAGTGTGGGACCAATCCGGAGCGGATGAGGTCTTGAAGGAATTTGCCCATCGATCCAGAACTCTCTTCTTGCACCGTGTGATCAACAATGACTTCCCACATGATTACTTTGCTGCGGGGGGTGAAGGAGCAAACTCACCGAGTGCCCCAG